CCCCCCCCCCCCTCCCCCCCTCTAAAATCAATTCTCTTCTGGAGATCGTCTTCGTGAGCCTCTCATGATTTCAGGATAGTTGAAACCCTCTTGAACATTCAGAAAGAGTGAATATGAAACTCTAATCACGAAAGGTGTTCTGTGAAGCACGTCAATTCTCTCCTGGGGAGCGTCTTCGTGAGCCTCTTATGGTTTCAGGATAGTTCAAACCCTATGATGTTCCGATTCAATGCTCACCGATGATCTGAGCCATGGGGCAAGTTTGTTTTCCTAAGAATCTTTTTGAACATTTCGAGAGCACATGTTTGAACATTTAAAGTGCATATGAACATATATGTACGAAAGGTCGCCTCCGAGGGGATAAATCACCATGTCGAACATTGCATTTTTGTTCCTGCCTCTCGCGTTCTCTTCTCTTCCCGCTGTCCTACCTTTCGTGTCTCCCTCCTCTCAAGTTGCTTGAGCAGAGCCTCCCCAGACAAGATGAGTGCTTTTGGGGCACTCAGTAGAGACCTTATAACACTTGTCTATCCATTTGCATTCGCTAGGGCGATCATGCCGTAGACCAGGTAAGATGCGGATGTGCAAAGATCCATCTAAATCAACTCTTGCAGTTTGTGCAATCGACTAGCCGGTTTTTGGAAGACTTGGACCTCCTCCACCGCTGCCTAGATGCACCTGTACGTCCGCCCAGCTTCGGTGGTGGAAACCTTTATCGTGAGTTGTATCGTGTACACGTTTCCCTGGCCTTAACCGTGTTCAAACCAGGATCCTATGAAGCAGCGTTTTCCCATGGAAGACGCACACATGGAAGAAGCACAGAAGTACAAAGGAAGACTTGTTAGTAGGCTGAGCATGTTTTCTTTCCAGCTGCCCTGTTTGGGTTCATCCCACACATTCCTTTCTTGCTTTGACCCGCTTTCAACCCTCGTGGCGAGGTTGCTGGTGCTGGGCGCTTTTCTAGGCCCGGCTGGCGGGAGTAGAGGAATGGTGGGGAAGACAACGTCTTTGTGTAGGAGAAAAACGGATCAAGCAGCTGCTTTTCGAAACCCTGCGCCAACAATGGGGTTATAGTTATTGCAGGCTTTACTTTCAAAAGGAGCTGCTTTGGAAATGCGTTAGGAACTTTGGGCAAGCGATCTCAGTCTTGCCACTGGGCTCCACAAGCCATGATAGCCTGGAAGGCATCACAGAGGGTAGTGCTCGCACGTGCTCGCAACTGTTGGTGAACAAGTTGAATCCCTTCTTTAATTCAGAGTTCATCAGATTCCCACATTTGAGGCCCACTTTCTTGGGGTGTCGCCTTCCTTGGTCTAGAGCACGGCCAAGCCCTTCCGCACCAAACAATCAACCCTCCTCCAGTTTGGAAAGGTTACAAATTACCCTACAAGCGAACATGGTTCAACTTGCCGAAACATGCATGCATCCAAAAAAAAATCTTAGAAGCCCTCAGAACGCTCGTGATGTGGGCGGGGGCGATCTACTCACAATAGTGCCCATAACACTGTGCGGACATCGCTTGTCCAGGTGTGGCATCAGCAGCCTGTAGCATTGCGGGATGGTTATCCGTGCGGTCACCCATGCCCAAGGCAGTGATGGGCCAAAAGAATCCAAAAAGTCATGTTTAGGCCAAAGTTTAGGCAGTGATGTGTTGCTATATATGGGTTACATATTCCATCATATTCCGATGTCTTTTCGTTGTAGCGAACTCTCAGAGTGAGTTTTCGCCCGTATTCTGCGTCGCTATATTGATCTATAGAAGTCAGTTCTTTGCTGCTTCTTCGCTAGGCCAGGCCGAATAAGAAGGAAAGACCTTCGATGGATCTGACGCGTTGTGCGACGCATTTGTGCGATGCCACAGTGGCCCTCCAGGCCTGGCAGCCGGACCAAGAAACCCTCCGAGACACTCTGCGTGCCAAGGCCCTGCGAGGAGGACGCGGTCCATTGATGGATCGAAGATGTGAAACCGAGTCGATGAAGCCACAAACCCTGTGAGAGAGATCAAAACCGAATGTGGGTTTCAACATTTTTCAACCTACTAGCATGTGCGTATATACACTATACTGTGTCCATTTACAATTGCAGCATATGTTGGTTCTTGTGTACCATAGATGACGGATTATTGATTATGATCGCCATGCAGCGATTGGTCAGTGGGTGGTTTGAGCCTCGTGGCTTGGATTTCGGGAGGATGTTGGTGGAGGCCATTACTACTAGCAACAAGAAGCTGCTAGTAGCTTCGTGTTACTACTAGTGATGGCCTCCAACCTAATAGCGATGGCCTCCACCTACTAGCTTCTTGCTACTAGTATATCCGAAGAATGGCTGGAGTTGTCACATAAGGCTTACAGGCGTTCGTGACGCAGCAAAGAGTCAATTCGCTGGAGAACCTTCAGGCAGAAGATGTTCAAGGACATCAGCAGCACATCCTGGAGGTCATGTGTCATGAAGATAGGATAGCACCCCAAGAACATATGTAGCCAAGTGAGCACAAGTACATTGAAAACTATCAAGTAGATCATGCATCCCCCCACCCACGACCCATAATGGGACATAATGGGACAAACATGTTGAGCTGCTTCCACAAACTCTTCACAAGAGAGGAGGTGGCAAGTCTGATCATTGCTTCTGGGTGGCGATTATGGATGATCCTTGGCTTGGTCTATGATTGCCTTCGGCGTGCGCTAACGCGAGGCGTTTGCCAGCGCCAGAAGACCTCTGAGAGTGTCCTGTTCATGTTCGGGTCGGCTCTAAAAACTGGCTTGACTCTCATTCCGGGAACGGGAGTTCTACTGGAGAGCTTGGTACACCACAACCGTTTGCCTCCCAAAGATGTGTGGCGATTAGGGGTTCCTGACCCATTCCAAACCCTGAAGCATACAGTTTCAATCTTCTGCATGTGCTGAAAGTGTTAGGCCTTCGGATTAGCAGCAAAGTGTGTGATGGGTAGAGGGGGGAAAACGATGGGCCCCTCCCAAAGTGACATTCCTGATTAATTAAGTTCAAGTGAAGAAAAAAGAACTGATAATTGGATTCATCCTGTAAAGGTTAAATGGTGGAGTTCACTCCTACCATACTCACAGTTTCGGGCACTCATTCCAATAGCATCCGTGCAGCAGAGGGAGGAATCAGACCCCCGCTGCTCGAGGCCTTTATGGCTGCGAAGTCCCGGAAAGCCTTTTGCGGCTCAGCTTGAAGGGTTTTGCAAGGCAAGGCATGGCAGATTGAAGTGAGTTTGAGTTCAAACCTGCTGAGATACGGTGGATCATTGACTGCTTCTGTGATTGTTCGTCGCACCACTGGGGGTTTTGGTCCACCTTCCGTTTTCGGCTCAAAATCGGTGCCAACGACTGAGGCAACGACTTGGGCCTCTCCTTGGAGCGCATGGTGGAGGCCGAGCTTTGCCGGACCCAGCTCCTACGAGGCGCCGGGTGACACCGGGTGGGGCACGCCAGGCGTCAGATACGCAGGGTCGGCACGGCTGATCGACGAGGGGCCAAGAACGACCTGGAAAATGGTCCAAAGGTTTCTTTAGGAAACACCCACCAAGAGCGATAGCCTCCTGCCTAGTAGCTTCTTTCTGCTAGTAGTAACGACCTCCAACCTGATAGCCATGGCCTCCAACCCAATTCATCTTAGACATGAAATATGGGTGTTCATTTTGAAGAGATCGAACTAGTGGCGTCTCCCTATTTCATACACACCCATAGGGTCTTGAACAGTACTCAGCGCTTTTCCATGTGCAGCGGGAGGTGTGGCAGCCCCCTCACAAATACTGTTTTGGAGCGGAGAGGAGCCTTCAAATCTGACAGGGTCACAGCAGCCCCATCCAACCACCCCATGAGACATCATGAGACATCATGAAACCCTACGCACGTTGGGCCCAATCCGATGCTGTGACTTATTGCTTCTGTCATCCATGATGGCCGGCTGGAAATGGCACATGCCCAAATGCTGCATGTTGAACAGAGGTGACTGGATGAACTACTCGGGTAGGATTCAGGATGTCAATCAAACTTCAAACGACAAAACTAGGTATACCATGCTGAAAAGGAAAGGTGGTTTATAACACTTAGGGTCAAGGTGGTTTGGATCGCCTTTGAAGTGATATAATACAACTCTGCAGACCGCTGCTCGACACGCAGGCTTGCGCTCCTTGGGCTTTCAACGAGATGCCGATGGCAACGCCGGAGATTGGCACATCGCCTCTCAGTGGTTTTGGCGGGTGGATGGGAAAAGGTAGCATACCACGAGAACAGCCTTGTTGTGAGGACTTCTCGTTGCACTTCTCGTGAGAAGTGTAGCATGGAAAGCCGTGAGATGTGTCATACAGAGCAAGAGCACCGCGGTGTTTTTTTCCAAAATCCGTGAAGTCCTTGTTGAGATGTTCATTTGCCAAAATATCAGGTTCCAGCGCATGCAAGTACGTAGCATGTGTTTCTAGTGCTTATCCAGTGCCGTTTCTAAGATTTTAACTTGGCCCAAGAAATCAAAGAAAGGGACAACCCTTTTGTCCTGCCCCAGGATATGGTCATGTCCAAATCGAGAGTGGAAGGGTCTCCAGTATATTGGAGGGGGTTCACTGTTTGATTGTTTTTGGAGGATGGTGCAACAAGGAGTCGTTCCGGTTCATTGCTGTCAAACACACCAGGCCCTATATATACTTCCTACGTCTCATCCACAGTTTGCAAAAACAAGAATCCTTTTCGCTGTGGACTCCACCGAATGCCACCATGGCGCGCCTCAAATTCATCGTGTCGCCGCGTTGGTTCGGGTCCGAGGTGAGAGCTGCCGTGGTAGCGGGACTCTATCCGCAAGTGGTCAGCGTGGAGCGCCCCACACCCAAGTTCGCGGAACCTTGGAACCTCATGGAACCTCCAAATCCGCCACACCGGGTGAGACGGTGTTCCGGGATGTTCGGGCTGGTGCAGTCGCCCTGGCCAAGCTTCGGTCGCTAAGAACCCTGATTCGGTTCTTGATCGTCGGACGGAGGGAAAAAAGGAACCTGCCGGTGACGGGCATGAACAAAGCCTTGCTGAGTCTTTTGAGTTTCTGATCCCAAGCCCCTTTACCACCCGCCATGCCCATCACATCGGACTTCCGTTGCATCGCCCGAATTCGACCGCGGCAGCTTCTGGCTTCTGCTTCGCTCGTGAGGAAAGCCTGGCGGGCGCCATCCAAATCGAGAGCGACGCGCGGGAAGTGCCTTCACGCGAATCAACACGTACGTCGAGGTCGCTTTTGGGTTGATTTGTTCGTGTTCCTTCACGCGGGAAGTGTTTGTGGCGGAGGGGTCTTTTTGTTTGGGTTCGATGCGCACACTTCGCCGAAAGGAACGAAATTGAAGCCACCTTCGATGTTTCGGAGGGGTGCCGCCACTAGCAACAAGTATTGTTTCTACTACAGTAGCTTCTTGTTACTACTAGTAAGGCACTTGTTACTAGTAGCGAGGCACCTGTTCCTAGTAGCTTCTTGTTACTACTCACCTTCGATGTTTCGGAGGGGGTGCCAATGTTGCTACTGGCTCTCGAGGTTCGCTACTGGCTCTCGGAAGACGGCGGGCGTGCGCGGGCCTTCCTGCATCCATCCTCGTTGCTCTTCAAGGCGGAGATCGGTTAAGCTCGAGCCGTGAGCACTAACGCTTCGGGGTGCCTGGCTCCTGTGGCTAGGTGGTTGGTCCTATTTTTCTGGAGAGTGGCAAATCCATTTGGTTTGAATATATTGCCAGGCTTGCACTAGACCGAGCACAACTGACTTTAAACCGAGCTTCGTTTGGAATGCACCGGCCCACACTCTAAATACAGAATTGATTGCTGCCGACCGCAGCAAGTAGCTGCCAGTAGCCTGTGTGTGGTGCACCTCCTGCATCAAATTCGTTGCCGAGGAGAGCTCTTATTCGTGCCCCTACATCATCTTCTCCGTCGCTTGGTGCGGAGGGGTTTTTAGGGCTCGGAGCGCAGTCTGAGAATTGCCCATCAAGGGGTGGCATGGGGTCGCATGGGGGCACGGGTGGGCCTGAAACTTGGACCATTGACCGTGGCATGGCCTCACTTTAAGGCAAGGGGGCTCTATCTTGGAGGGCCCAGACAGGCGGTGGTTAAACCAGAGCTGTGAGATGCTGTAATCCTCTCATACCCCCGGCAAGAAGAAACATCATGTGAAAATGCTTTTTGATATGAGCGACAAACCTTTTCGGATTTCACGGAGCATGGCAAGTCTGTGTTGCCACCTGTTGCCACATGGTTTGTCGGGTGGCTGTGCCGGTGCTGCAGAAACCAGCTTAGAGTCTTTTGCGGTTGCTGAGCCCAGTAGGCAGTTCTGATTCTGAGTGGCTTGGGCGCCCTGAGGAAAAAACGATTCAGCAACAGAGCACCTTGGTTTGCAGAGAAGCGTGGAAAGAAGGGAGGGGAGACGTTCGTTTCTCCCAAGTTCTCAGGCCTGGTTTTGCTGTGATTGTTTGTTTTTCCATACTTAGTATGCTACAGTTACGCCATGGAAGAATCCGACCCGGCTGGAAATGGAAACAAGACTCGTATGCATGGTTGTTTTCCCTATGGTTATCCATTTAAATCCCCTTCTCGGGGAATTACTTTTTCTCTTCGTCGTCGTCCGGACACGCCCCGACGCTCAACTCGGAGACCCCCTTCGGCTGAGACAACCCCGAGCACCCCACGAAGCTGGTCCTCACCGGCTGCTCGGAAGCCTCGGCCGGGGTGCCCAGTGTGATTCTCTCGGTGTCATGAGAAGACCATGCATCCAAGAGGATTCAAAAAAAGAATCAGAAGAGACACGTCATGAATGACATGTCAGCTTTTAATTGGCGGATCTGCGCGAAGGGTCTTTCACCAAAGTCGACAGACAAATGCAGCACAAAGGGAGGGGATGGGGTCAAGAACTACTGAGCCAAGTTTTGTGTGTGTGTTGGATTTCCATGTCCGAGCAATGTCGAAACATGCTGAAACGAATTTCGACCACCAAAGGGATCAAAGGATCATGTATCCGATACGGTTAAAGCCTCCCAAGAAATGTTGCACTTGCAGCACTTTTTCCTTCAGAAATCTTTGCCATCACAGCTGTTTGATCAAAGCAAGCCAGTCTTTTGCTTCAATGCCTGCTGTTGGGGCTGAAGGGGGCACGGAAAGAAAGCTGACAACGTGTCGTAGCTTTGCCAAGGCTAACTGTCAAGATGATTTCAATTGCTGTTATGTTTGAAACAGATCTGAAAGGTGGTGCTGGCAGATAACTTATGATAACTTCTAATGTTCTGCACATCACAGCACTTCCTCAAATGACGCAGGTGAGAAATGTCTCCCTCCGTGAGGTCTATGCCTTGCTTCTCTTCGGCGGCCACCTCACCGTCGATCACCAGCAGGCCGCGGCTCGGTCCCGTGCTTCGCCGCGGAACTGGGAGCCCAGTTGCAGATTGCAGCTGCATCGTGTGAAACATGTTGAAACACATGGCAGTGAGAGAAGGCCTCTTGACTTGACTAGCCCAATCCTTGGCAGTCTTTTGTGTGTGTGGTGGCCGGACCTGCCAGAGAAGCAGTTGGCTTGTAGCTCAAGATGCTTGCAGCATCCAAGAACATGACCATTTCCACAACTGGTGGTGTGAGTGAGCACTCAACACATAACACATGATTTGGCTTGCCAAGTCAACAAGAATACGCAGATGCTTGCATTCCAGAGGGCCAACAAATGCACGATTTTTGGCAGGAAGTCTTGGTGTTCATTGGCAACTAACCAGGATGAGAGGAAAGGTCTGATTTTAGGGTCCGAAGATTGTTATTAATGCTTTTTTGGTTTGAGTTTGAAGTTGGGGGGCTTTCCTTTTCCCCGAGCAGTCCGAACAGTCTTTCAGAGCTCCTGGAAACCTGCAATTTTCAGCCATGCCCGCCTTGTCCAAGCTTGGACTGTTTCTCGTTGTGCTGTTTTGTTCTTGCTCCTCTAGCACTCAGAACTGAAAGCCCTGAAACCTGTTTTCGTGTCCCAAACTGCTGCGGCCCCGACGCAGCACCGCGCAGCGCAGCTGGCAGGTGGAAGTCACCGTGGACGGTGGCCGCGGCGGGCGCTTCGCCGGTGGCAGCACCACGGTGGTGGCCATGCTGCAGCGCTTGCGGCAGGCGGCGGATGTGGGGGCGACGTAGGTGCTTCTCCCTCCGACAGTGACCGGCCAAACGAATGGATGATAAGGGATGATAAGTGAAAGATTGGCTTCGAAGCCTTCGGCTCGAAGCGCGGAGTCTACTATCCAGCCACTTTACTACTACGTTCGCTTGGGTGAGGTCATGGCGGTCAAAAAGACGATCCCAGCGAAGGCCCTCGGCACGAGGATGGGCCCCCCGCCAGGCCATCGACGCTCTACTGCTGCAGAAGGTCCATTCGCCCTCCAGCTCCATCAGCGGCGCCAAAGCAGCGCAGTGCGTGGTGACGTTGCTCAGTACCGACGGCTTAGGGCCTGAGACGGAGAAGAAATGAAGAAAGCTCGCGGCTCAAGTTGTATGCGGTGGCCGGGGGGG